TATAGATTCTTTAACCCCATTTTAGCCGCACGAGATTGCGGATACAAAACATTGTTAATAAATCAATTGCAGAAAAAAGTTTAGCTTCACGGTGTCATTTGATTTCCAAATAAAAACTTCCCTAGTTTATTGTTTATCACTGCTGTCATGTTAGCTATTTGAAACCAAGGTGCAATTCGTTCCTTAAGCAGAGATTATTTTGAACTGCTTGCATGAAATTCATCAATGTGTTCATCCAGAGATTATCACCCCGTCCACACAAATCTGTTCTTGTTTGAAAACGGAGATTTTTCCCTCTGGTTTTGCTTACCGTCCACCCTTTTTTGGTAAAACCGCCACAGAAAACACATCTTTTAAGTGGAGAGCTTTGAAAACGCTGGCTTCTCGTTTACGTGTGGACGGGCGAAAACAGAGGTTTTCGAATACAATGATGTCATTCATCGCATTACGCATGCTCCGTAAGGGATACTATTGTATTTGCATCGTGCATTGTTTTAGCATTTTTTGTGGACCGGCGAAAATGATTCAAATACGCTAAGTAATGTTTTCATTTTTCACTATTTTGAGACTCTCGAAATAGAGTTTTCGAACTGGTGCAAAATTAACTGTGTTTGACTCAGAAGGGGAGACTCCGGAAGTCAACTTTGATGTGAGGTTCAAAAATTGGAATTCTATTTATTTCATTTTCCTTTAATTTATGATTAAGGCGAAAAGGAATTATTGCGGGATTAGAAATTAGCTTATACATTAAGCTCTAGATTTCTCCCATGGTAAATTTACTTCAGCTAAAGTAGAAAAAGCTCTATGATGCTTTTCATACTATGTCTGCTACAAAGGATCGTATTTAGTTTCCCTAATGGCAGCAAGCCGCCAAAAAAGGTGAAGAAAATGACCTTAGGATGTAATGCGGATTTGACTTTTTTTAACTGTAAAATAATTTTATGGACTGTTTTGCGACGTAATTAACTTTTTCTTCGTTAATGTAATGAATTTCAACGTGTAAAAGGGGAAAGAGTCTTTAAAAGCTGATTTTGTAACTTTGTACGAGAAAATACCGGCATTCTCAATTGTCGAGAGTATTTCTCACACCTCTGTGTTTGTATATTACTATTTTATTACCGTCAGATAACTCTGTTCTCCTAATAAACAACGCACAAAGCCTTTTGACAAGCAAACATGATAAGAAGGAAGTTAAAATTCTGAAATATAAAGTTAAACAGTAGACAATTGATTGCCATAAACTCAAAACTTATTTTATTTTTGTATTTTGTTTTTACTTTACTAGACATTCAAAACGTCAATAAAATTACACAGTTTTTGCCAAAATTTTAATTGTGATTTCATATACATTTTGGCTCTTTTATACATTGTTAATGTTCACGTTCTTTCCCACAAGTTGCATCATTCCTTGACGAATGAATTGGCTCCTCCAGCAATAAATAACAGGATTTAAAAATGAATTTAAAATAATACAAGAAAATGTCGGTGGCCTTAAACGTGTCAGTAATGGAAATGAAAATAGTTGCAAGAGTGTAGCGCGCAAAACCTCTGGCAAAAAAGATAAAATAAAACCACTTAAAACAATAATGGTTGTTCTCCAAGCTTTTTGATCATCTAAGAACTTTTTTCTGGCTTCCCTGGAGGTTTGCTCAGATTTAATGCGATTCAAATGGCGGCGACAAACAAAATAAACTGACAAGTGACAGAAACAAATCACTGCTAAAGATGTGCTAATCCCGAAAACTCGTGTGATACGCGCTTTAATAAACATGGGAGGAAAATATATTCCCGTAAAAAGCCAGCACAAAGCTATAGCCACAGCTAAACGTCGTGTTGTCACGATGCTGTTGTATTTTAAAGAATATTTCATTGCTATAAAGCGTTCTAAGGCAATCAGCACCACATGAAATAGAGACGTTAAGGTGAAGGAGACCCAGATTTTGTGGAGGTGTTTACCATCCTGAATTTGAACCCATCCATCCCCAAGGCTTTAAATTTCGTAAGTCTAACAAATAGAATGGATAACATATAGAACACCCTACAATATAACATAAAATGTTTGGCCATGGAGGCCAATGTCACGTGGTTATAATGCCACGCCCTTTGAAGGCTTGGTTTTCGTCTTTGCCGCATTTTCATGAAAAGTGTGTTCACGTAGGACCGTTAGTGCCTTGCGTTAACAAGTTCAGGATGATGGAAAGACCCAATTCGAAAATTTGGTTTCAAATTTATCATAAAATGTCCGGCAATGATAAGCAAACTTTTGACGGATTATATATAATAAACTATGTGATTCATCCCTTTATTTTAATCGTTATAACAGATGGGTCCTTGTCCTCAGCAAAACGTTTATGGCCTTGTAAATTTTGCGATTTCGGATCAAACATATGAAATTTGCAACGAACTTCTTGACGTTTGTCAGCGTTTAAAGAGTACTTCTCACGTGTCGATTTTCTTGTTATTTTTTTCCTTCAAATTTTTTCAGGGCCACAATTTAATGGCATAATGAAGTCTCAAGTGGTTTTTATCGTTTTCTCGGGTCACCGACTTGTCCAAGCGAAGCGAAGGAAACGTTAACAGTGATTATCGTTACTGAATGTCACTGTGACCAAGAAGGCTTGAGGAAATGGCCGTACTCGGCTGGTAGATACTGGAAGGTTTATCTCCATAAGATACCCTAATAGAGGACAGTGCATAGCCAATATCTTCGCTGAAGTTTGACAAGTTTGAAAACTTTTATGTATTTGTGATGAGAAATAAACATATGTGATCTCAAGTCAAACTTAATTATTATGGATTAAACGACTTTGCAGACGTCAAATAAAAAATGACTACAGCAAAATGGAGCTTTGGATATGATGTTACCGCCTTTCGCTTAATATGTGGCAACATGACCGGGGCGGTCTTTCAATATCAACAAGACAAATATATACATGTATTAATCATCAAGAAAAAGAGACATAAAATTCATTACTCAAAATAAATAAATTATTGATAAAAATAAAACTTTTGAATCTGATCCTGTCTGAATGGGCTTTGGAGAGTTAAAATCAAAAATTTCCAATCAGAGCATGCGCGTAGAACTCACTACATTGTTTAAAAATCGGTCGATCTATAGATCCGCACCTGCTTTTGAACATGTTCAACTTTTTTTTTTAAGATCAAACAACCAATCAGAGCGCGCGTAGAACTCACTACATTGTATAAAACTCGCGATATACGCACGCTGAACATGAACCAATTCTTAATTTTGGAATAAGTTCATTCAACATTGATTTCCCCTGAAATTAAGTGTTGTATGTCCGAGGGGTTTGAAAATCGTCAGCACCACACTCAACATTGCCTGAATTCAGCAGTGTTAACATTTAAGTTTATGCATGGACCGTCAGCGGACTACTGAAAAGAGAGCTCCAGATACAATCTACAATCCAACAATGGACTTCTTTTAGAAATATTATCTATTAAGCCAAAAAAGACACTTGGTGATCGCTCCTTTCAAATGGCGGCGCCGGCTGTGTGGAACAACTTGTCGAACACTCTACCTAACGAAACTAACTTCTACAGCTACATTTACTAAATTGTTAAAATCTGTTAAAGACATCGCACCAACTATTAAAAGAAACGATCATAAAATATGTACAATGCCCGGATAAAATTAACAAATAAACTCGGATGATACATACATAAAAATAAGTGAATCATAATATAGAGTAAAAAAGTATGGAAGTAAAAAACGTCTAGTAATTCTTAGCTAGGTAGGGGAGTCAGATTTAGAGTTAAAGACAGCCAAGGAGTTTGACTCAACTATTTCCGCGGGTAGCTTATTCCATTAAGAAGAAGGACTAAAAATAAATGTTCTCTTTGTCGCCTTATTTTGCCTATATCTATAACGATGACTCCCTCAAGTTCTAACTTCAGAATGGAGTTGTAGATAGCTATTTACATCAATATCAATTTGTCCACAACTCATCAAATTTAAAATCAAATGTAAATCGTTGCGTACGATTTATTTTTTTAATTCAATTTATAATTAAGATTAGTTTTGAACAAGATCTAGGACTTTGAATACATGTTTTTTAATGTTATGAATGCATACATACACTATTCTATAATTTTATTTATTTCTACAGTTATTGTACATACGTATCTTTTTTAGTAATTACTTTTAAAAGTAATTACAAAGACTAATTACAAACAGGAGAGATTTCGAAAATGATTTGATCAAAAAGTTAAACGCTTTAAAGATTTTTAAAATGCATTTAAAAAACATTTTAAAAAGTTAACAACGTTTCGGCACTACTTTACGCCACAAGAGAGAATGATCTAAGCTTAGCTCATTCTCTCTTGACGCCATTATCAAGTTGAAAAGTGAAAAAGTATAAGGTGTAAAACGAATATATAAGAAGCGAAACAATACATAAAATATTTGCGGGTCCAGTGGGTATAATTCCCAAGGTAAGAAACACAATAAGAGAAAAAAAACTTGTACGAAAGTGTAATGTAAATAGTTTGGCGCGAATGGAGTCGGCTTGCGTGTTAAGAGGAGGCTTGACATCCCTTATGTATCTGGGGCACCTAACGACAATTTTCGGGAAAATATCTGTTTGGAAGACGATTTGAGATCTAGAATTTTCGGAACATTTGTTGTAAAATTTCTTGCTTGCCTGCTTCTCCTAGGATTTTCGAACATCTAAAAAATGGTAAAATTGCCCATTTTCAACGGATTTTTACCCTAAAAAGGTCACCTAGAATTTTCGGGAGCCTTTTTTCTGGCTGAAATTTTCGAACAGGTAAGTTTTGATCCCTATAATTTTCAGATCACTAGACTTTCAGCTAGGAAATCCGAACAGATGAAAAGTTTATAGGGGATAAAAATATGCCCATATCCACCGTTTAAATACTAAAACACGTTTAACAATGCTATGTTCTCGTTGGGTGCCCCTGATGTATAACATCTCGTAGACTAAGCAATCAAACTTGCTGTTACATTTCTTCAGAACTTTGAAAAGATGGTCAGTCTTTGTTCTGTTGTTGCCATGCTGTGTTTCAAGGTGTTTCCCGATGGCTAAATAACGGTGCTCACTTATGCGTTGATGTAAGTGTCGGGCAGTGTACCCAACATAATTTGCATCGCACAAATCACATTGAAATAAGTATACAACGCATTGAGTGTTGACGATCTGGGGCTTGTTTTCCTCGACACTCAGGGCTGGTGACAGTTTTCTGCTTGTAAAGTCGGGTTTTACATTAACATCGATCTTGGCTCCCAGAGAATAGATATCTTTGCGTACGCGATCAGCTGATCGCTGATCTTTAAAGGGCAATACTATGTAAACAGATGGGTCTACTGAAGGCACTGTGTGTATTTCTTTATCTGGTTCCTGGCTGAACTTATTTATATATTTTTATATATTATATATTTATTTATTATATATATATATATATTTTTTTTTTCTCTTATTGTGTTTCTTACCTTGGGAATTATACCCATTGGACCCGCAAATATTTTATGTATTGTTTCGAATTTTATATATTCGTTTTACACCTTATATTTTTCACTTTTCAACTTGATAATGGCGTAACGTAGCGCCGAAACGTCGTTCACTTTTTAAAATGTATTTTAAAAATCTTTTAGCGTTTAACTTTTTGATCAAATAATTATAAGCCCATGGGCTCCTGACGTATATTTTATTTACACATTTTTTAAAGTTATTTTTTAAGTTATTTATTCTTATCGCGCATCTGACTATAGTTTACATAGAAATTTGCGCACTATAAATTTTTAAATTATTATTAAATCATCATCATTAACTAATTGTTTCTGGGCGTGCGCGAAACGTTCTACTCACTTAACCGAAGTGTAAAATTCCAAAAAAGACAAGGAGTTGGAGCGAGTGAAAAGGGGGCGGGGCGGAGACAGTAACGGGGGAGAGAGATAAAAATACCTGTATCATTTAGATTATTCTTTTTGCAGACATAGACTTCAATTTTCATGAATATTCCTCTTTTTGTGTCACTGCAGTGACCACCCCTGGTGTCATTGATGTGGGACTCCGTTCCATCAGATGTTCCTGGAAGATATATCCATAAAACTCATTTGATTTATGTTAGCTCTGCATGCCGTTGCCGGTAATTTATTCCAGATAAATAACCTACAATTACAATTAGAATCGACTTTTTTGGTAGATAGTTTTTTTAGAGTTAATAAGAATTGAGATGAAGAACGGACGAACGGGGCTGGCCAATAAAGCCTGCTTGTACTGGCAAGATCTCTTGTTCGCGAATCAATTCCATCTGTTCGCCGCACCGTGTCAGACGCCAATGCGTCTCTTAGTGGTTTTATCTTTTGTCTCATGATGGATGATGGTCATTGATCGCCTCGTTTCGACCGAGCACTGCAGGGCCGAGTTGTTCGAAAGGTGGATAACGTTATCCACTGGATAAATCTCTATTCAGTGGATAGAGTAGTTGGTTTTCCTAATATTTATCTCCAGGATAGTAATTTATCACGCCCCGCCGGTTGTTCAAAAGCTGGATAGCGCTATCAACCGGATAAATCACTATCTAGCGGATACGTATTAGGAAAACCAATTTGTATTATCCGCTGGATAGTGATTTATCCGATGGATAGCGCTATCCAATGTTTGAACAATCGGGACTTGGTCTTTAGAGAGGCGATGGTGTCAAATTCTGAGTGTGACTAAGTAGGAAAACGATCGTTGCTTGTGACTGGTGCATGACAAAGACAGGCAAACAACAACAAAACTTCTGAACGCATGTAGAAACTGCTAATCTGGGCGGGACAAGCAAACCACATGGTTGCTGGGGTTTCGATTCGAAGCATTGTTGGAAACTGTTCCCTGAGGGTCCGCTGTAGTACCGTTCGGCTGCTTTATTGCTAGCCTCCCACGCAGGCGTAAACGAGCTTCCCTAAAAACGCTTGCGTGGGAGGCTACTGTTTTGCCTGATCGAAGGCATCCACGTTTCTGGAATCTCAACTGACTAAACCATCGCTGATCTCTGAGAACAAGAAGCATTTCTGTCCCTGCCCCTGGCTGTAAATTGATTAGGGAGAGGTACACACATCGGGAATGTCCCAGTCGTCACTACGATTTAACCAGCCCTGCCTAAATTTATTTGGATTTCTTATATAACCTTCCTTGAGAAAATTAAACTTTGATGGTGTCAGAGATGAGCCGTTTTGTGTGATCACCGAATGATACGGGTCTCCATGGTTCCCGGTTCGAAGGACAGGATTGGCCTTGCCCCTAGAGGCCAAGGTAATCCCCTGAACACCTGAACATTGAAATGTAAAAAAATAATGAAAAACAATGGATCAATTTCGATATATTAAAATTCAGACTTGGCACTGAGGCTTAGGGGAATAAAACAAAAGAAATCAACTTGAGGCTCCGCAATAAATAATATGTCTCGTTTGTTTTATTCCCCCAAAGCCTCGGGGGCCCAAGTATCAATTTTAACACACACACACATATATATATATCGCAATTATTTGTCTATAAATTTCGATTTCATCTCACTGCTGCTAGAAAGAATCTTGGTAATTTTATAATAGATTTAACGCAGCGAATGAACGTGTTTACCAAGTATCTCAAAAAATGTAAAAATAAGAAAAAATGGAAATTAAAGACATTATAAAAATAGAAATAACAGAACGAAGGAAATGAAAGGAAAAATACGTGGGTGAACAAAACATACAACCGAAAGTCTGAGGTCAACAAACAGCCATCAAGAAATATTTACCAGATTTTTAGCTGTTCTTGAGGTATAGAACATGAGGCGTTCTAAAGAGCTTTCCTTACACAAGCGCCGTCTCCAAATAAGCGTCGCGTCGAGACGTCGAGAAAATTAATAAGTGCCACGGCGTTTATTCCAGTAAATATGGTATTTTAAAATTTGGCATTTCTTTGAAATCACAAAAACGGAATTACCCATAAAGGCACATGAAGATACATTTTTCTCATCCTTGCATTCTGACCTCCGCATGAAATCATTTTTGATTGCAGTTGTATGGTGGGAAGGTGGGTGGTATTTGGCATTATTATATCTACTCTTCACTTGTATTCTTATTCAGAACTGAACTGTTTCCATCACTTACCAATAAAATAATATTTTTGTCCTTCTTTAAACCTCAGCCCTTTTGGGTCTGCTGCAAACTTGGAAAATAGCAACGGGTAATAGTTCAACTTTGTTGGAGTGTTGCACCGCAACAAGAGCTTACTTGTCCTGTTTTCACCCTCTGTGGATGTGTCACATTTGTCAAAAACTTGTTTATTGTACACAATCCAAAGATTTTCGTACATATTTGCTGTAAGAGCTGGGGTTGCAGCATTTTTCATCACAGAAGCCGTATTAGGGCAAATAAAATGAACTTTAGATTGTAGTTGAACGCTAAGAGTCCTGTGCCCTGAGTTACAACGTTTTCCATCGGCTAGAAACCTAAAAACATAAATATGAGAAAATATTTATTATTAATTTATGATACACTGCGAAAAGAAGAGAGTAAAACATAAAAATGAAAATTAGGATTTATTATAAACTTATGATACTCTGAGAAAGGAAAAGAGTAAAAACATACATATAAAACTAAAAGATTTATAATTAATTTATGACTCTCTGCGAAAGGAAGAGTGGGATCTGAGTGATCAATCATCAGAAATCATCTTGAGGCTCAGTAATGAATAACACATTTCTTTTGTTTTATTTCCCCCAAGCCTCGGAGTCAAGTATGAATTTTAATATATCGAAAATGGTCCATTGATGGTTTAAGTCGTGATCCAACTTGATCTCCGCTTAGCTTCCGCTTTTAGGCATGCCTGAAAGTTGCATTTGCAAGTTTGCTTGATATTAGAGGAAATTTATTGATATTATAATTTCGGCTTTCTACGCTAGCGCTCTGCTCGCCCACTTCTGCTCGAATGATTGTGTTGCCTACTGCTGAAATGCATTATTTGTTGACAATTTTGGCACTGAATCCCTCCAGAGCTTTACATATGAGGATTACACATTCGTCTTTACTCTAGCTTCGACCACGAATTCATTTTTCGATTATATCAAAAAATATCCATTCATTAAAAACAATTTTAATTTGCGGTGACTAAAACAATTTGGAAGATGACGGGAAAAATGTCTTCAAGCCGCGAAGAGCTGTATCCAAAGATTTAAAGAATAAAATTGCTTTCGCTTTTTAATCTCCTTGTTATGTTTATACTGACTAAACAAAACCCGTGACGATGAATCGCCACAAATGGTTACTTACAAAGGATTTTCTGGGGTCCAGTAGATGGATGTGTAGATCAGACTGCTAGTACCGTAATTGATAAGAAGACCAAGGAGAAAAAGGAAAATGGCGTTCATGATTGTAACTTCCAGATCGGTGACGACCCAAGATTAATCCTATCTGCAAACATGCTAATGTACTGTTGTTTACAATTGTTAACAGGTCTAGGCCAGTGGCTTTCACGTGCTTCAGTTTCTCTTCATTCCCTCACGTTTTTAAAAGGTTGGTTCCAAGTCGTTTGTTCTGCTGTTAAAAATAAAAACTTGGACTTTTGTCAAAGCGGACGTTGAATTTCTCGAAACTTACAAGGTCCACTTTGTATTTAAATATTCACGAAAAAATAATGGCCCACAAAATTAACGTGCACAGACGATACAAATATAAAAATAATTTCAGTGCTCTGATCCTAAAAATAGCTCATACGTTACCAATATGGCGAAATGAACTAAAATATCCAAAGTAAAACATATAACGAGCAGGAAACAATAAAGAAGTTAAATATGATTTTTACGCGCTCGTCGATGTTAAAAGAAAAATAAAACAAAGTCTGTCTACATATGACTTTCTGTGCAGTTCTTGTACGTTCGGCTGACTGTTCTGCCATGTTACGGTCTACCCTAGACCTTAGAAAGGACGTCTAAATTTCATTACATTACACGTGCTGTGTTTAAATATAGCCAGAAATCCTGCTTTACGATATGAACGTGAGGAGGAATTCATAGCTTTAAAAAACCTAGCAATAGATGACCATACCGCTTTATTCCGACGTTTAGATAATTTTTCTGTATAAGACTGACTGCTAATAACTTGAGGTCCTTTCCGAGATATGCAGACGATACAAAGCCGATCCGAACTAGAGAATGAAAGCTAATGAATTGAATGAATGATCCCATTACATCCCATGAACTCTCTAACGCCTATTATTATCACTACACGCGGCCAAATAACAAACTGCCCTCTCTAGAAGTAGAACGCTCCTTTTCGCTGGCCAAACGGCAAAGTGAGGGCTGTAAATGGAATTTGCAGCCCGCAACATGATTTCATGTTGACAATCTTTCCTTATGAAATAAATTTGTACGATTTAGCCTTATGTATTGATAATAATGATAATCACGTCTTTTGTCGCGCACATACTTTGTCCGCTCGTAGCACCCTCGCTCCGCTCGGGCGCAAGTGATGCTGCTCGGGCCACAAATAAACTATATGCCCGACAAAGTCCTGTGATTGACCTATTTACATCACGTGTTTTCGAGCTATCGTCTAGTCGTATCTCGTTTACAACACGTCTTTTCACCCGTATGCCTCTATCCATTAGCTAAACGCACGGGAAAATGCATGCGTGAAAGAATAAAGGCCTTTTTTCCAATAACTGAGCTAATCCTCGCGCGCTGATTGGTCGAGCGGTATGGTCTATGAGAGTATAGACCATGGAAATTACGTAACATGTCACGCAGTGCCGTTTGTTTTGTTTTTTCGCAGCCTGCGTAGCATTTCGTAGCATGGCGGTTTTGTCGAGCCGTTGCTCCCGCCCCAATTCCCTCGCGGTTTCTCTGCCCTCCCGCGTTTATTACTTAGCGCGCCCAACCAAAACCGCCATGCTACGCAGGCTAGTTTTTTCGTAAAAAAAAATATATGCTACTGTAAAAAACAAATCGACCACAATTTTCCATGGTCTACGCACTTATAGACCATAGAAATGACGTCATAAAATGTTCAAAACTCAAGTGGAACCACGAGCCGCAGGCGAGTGGTTTCACTGCAACCGGGCGCTATCAGCTTTAGGATGAGGTTGAGTAAATTGACCGAGACTTACCCTTACAACACAAGAAATATAATGCACCTATCAATGTAGATCCCGTGGTGAGGGGGGGGAAAGGGGCGGGGATTTGACTATCCCCCTGTCGGGCGTTTGACCGTGCGAAGCGACCGCGGGTCGGGATATTTGACTTTGACCGACACAAGCCTGGTATTCCTGGTATCAATTCAGAAGCGGTTACCAGGTCCGTTCCTCGACGCTTCCTGAAAGTCACGCTGTTGGGAGAAAGGTATGAAGTTTTCATTTGTTTTAATAGCCATAATCCGATACTTTAAACTGCCTATAATGTCTATTTTAAAAACGTTTTTATCTTCAAGTTCCCATCTGATTGTAAAAAACGATTGAAATCGAAATCCACCAAGAAAGTCAGAGAATTCTTTACGAGTCACTGATCCGACATGTTGAGCAGATGTTATAAAGCATTTTTCGTTTCATTAATATTATAATAGCACGGTCAGTCTTCCTGAAGTGATTTTGTTGTTCAAAATAAGAAATGTTAGTGGAGAGAGAAAATACTTAATTACAGCGAGTAACTTAACGGAGCTTACGTTGACCTTAAATAAAAGTAGTAAGAATGTACTTTTGAAATGTTCTTTTATTCGTTTTATACAGTATTATGGTACTGTTTGTTTAGATTTTTCCCCCTGGGGTGGGGTCTTTTGATTGACCTTTCGTTTCCCGCCCTGGGGAATTTGATCAAAAAATTTTAAAATTTGTCAAATCCCCACCCCTTGCCCGCACTCCCCCCACGGGGCTTACATTGATAGGTGCATAAGGCTGCGCTTTTCAAGCTGCAGGAAATACGAAGTACTAGGTCCTTTCTCTTAGTATCTCCAGTCAAAATTGCAAAGAAATTAAACAATTATGATAAAAGTTTGATGTTGGTTCATGGAAAGACTAGGCTTGAAAAGAAGGGACTTCAATAAATGTGAAATAAATATAAACTACCGTTAGGTATGTAAGCTTATGTACACCTTGAACGGATTCACTCACGTTTTATTGAAGTGTTTTTACTACCACTTATTTTACAAAATGTACGACTGTTTTGGCTAAAACAAGTTTGCTAAACTCACTCGTGCATGCGGTAATAAAATTTTTAATTCGTTATAAAATAATTCTATCAAATATCAATACTTCTCTTTGTAAGTAGTTCTATTCTTAGATTCATGAACACACTCAGGTTACGATTCCTTTCATGGAAAATTTTTTGACGCTTCAAAGCACGTCACGAAGATCATGTTCAATATAAAATGAAATAGAAAAATGAAAGACATATCAACCGTTTCAACTTGAAAAGAATCATTCGCCGAGGCAAAGACGATCAAATCTTCTCTGCACTCTTTGAAGGGAGAAAGAAAAAAAACACAGAATCTCTACGATATACATCTCCCACACCAAAACTCGCATATTGAAGACACAGGCTAGAAATCAGTAGGTGTCAGGTCAGCACAAGTATTCGACAGCGAAACATAGCATAACATTCCACACACGACACAAAATAATAATTGTATGTAAAAAAAAGCAAACAAACAAACAAACAAACAAGCAAATAACTAATCAGAACCGATAAAAAGCTTCTTCGAATAAAAAAGGCAAGGAAATTCCAGCCAGGGGCACCCAACGTCCATTTTCGGAAAATACCTGTTCGGAAGACGATTTGAGATCTAGAATTTTTGGAACATTTGTTGTTAAATTTCTTGCTTGCTTGCCTCTCCTAGGATTTTCGAAAATCTAAAAAATGGTATAATTGCCAATTTTTAACGTATTTTTATCCTAAAAAGGTCACCTAGAATTTTCGGGAGCCTTTTATGTGGCTGAAATTTTCGAAACGGTAAGTTCTGATCACTATAGTTTTCGGATCACTAGACTTTCAGCTAGGAAATCCGAACACATGAAGAAGTTTTAGGGGATAAAAATATGCCTATATCTACCGTTTAAATACTAAAATACGTTTAACAATGCCATGTTTAAGTGGTTTTGAACTATATTCTCGTTGGGTGCCCCTGTGGAGAGCGTAAGACAAACAATTGTTTGATACGCATTAATCTGAAAAATATTGGATGTGTTAAAAATGAGCCTGCACATGTAAACTTTACATCCAAGACCTCTCTTGTCGCATCCTATTCCACGTCAAATTATTTCACTTTTCCCTTCGCAACCCATAATATCTGAACTGAATTGAAATACACTTCTAAAGAGATTGGGTAAGTATGTACAGAAATAACTCCTCTTCCCTTAATTTTCAAAGGATTTAAAAGCTGGGTTTTTCTCATTTCTTACAGGGAAGGATCAGAGCTTGAAATGTAAACTTTTAAAAGTACAATCCACCGCTAACACGGAGGTCTCCCACGCCACCGTTTTTATCTCTTCACGCAATACTCCTGGAGAGGGTGACTTATAACGCGGATCACCTGAAACATACTAAGGTGCTAAATCAGCGGGTCGGCATGACTTTAATATCAGCTACCTGCCTGTCTTGAAAAACTTTGCTTTACTGATGTGATTGAACATTATTAACAGTAAGGTGTCTTATACAACTCCTAGTTGAGAAATTTTCTTGTCGAAAATAATTAGTAACGATATCTACAAAATTTTGCGATTTACAGTTATTTTCAGCTGCTGTACATGTGTTTAGCCTGCTCACAGTCCCTCTCTTTTTTCTTTCAATCCAAAGAACCATGCCAGAAATGAAGCGAGATGGGCACAAGCACGTAGCGCAATGAGATGATGTCAAGGAGCGTGCTTGCGAACGCTTTATGAACTCCACCCCTCCAGTTCTTTCGCGTTTCTTTCAGCTCAGAGATAAATGCAAGAAAAGAGGGAGACGTGAACAGTTTACAGTACAAATCTAAACGTCAATTGCGACTCCCTGATTGATTTGTCCGTTTTTAGCAAAATGTACATCCTTATTCTCAATCACAACACTACCGTCCTGGTAAGGCTTTTTTTCCTCCACCTCTGGCACTTCGTAGAGGCTCCCCAGATTATCATAGTGTCCTTCCTTGTTCTCAATAACAATACTGCCGTGAGGAACAGGCTTTTTCCCGTCCATCTCCATGCTGCCGGTTGAGGATGTTTCATTGGGCAGTTCATAGAACGTTTGAAAACCGTTAAAAGGGAGTACAGTTTTGCCATTGTCGCCAGAATCGTTAAATACTAAACTGGACACAAAACCACGGTTGCTCACGCCCCCAACCGATTCTTGTCTCGAAGCAGGATTTTTTTCGCTTTTTTCTGGCTGTGTTATTATACCAGGACGATTCTTCTTTTTTCTACGGAAAAACACACAGAGACACAGGTCAAATCTTGCATGTGTGAAGCTAGTCAAACAATTTACTTAGTCTGGATGTATAAATATTCCTACACGCAGTTTTGCTATAAACTGGCAGCAGTCTCTCACGCCCCGGCGATTATCGCGCTAACCTGCGGGCAAACGTCTCTTTCACGCAGGCTTTAGTCGCCCGTGGGCGAACATGTTACATGCGAGTGAATAAGAAAAAGGGGAAGAAGGCGAGTGGAGAAGGAAAGTGCCTTTTTGTCTCGTTTCTCTCCAATTTCCTTCCAGGGTCGTCCGCTCTCTTCAGTCCCGCGAAGTCATCGGCCGACTCTTTCTTGCAGACCTGTTACCACAGGGATGAACTTGTTTTCCTCTGTCCAATAATGCATTTGTTCCAGCTTTTTTTACCATATTATTTGACTAAATTTTTCGAACATTCATAAGTACACTACGAGGCACAGTATTAAGGCTGGTTTTCACTGGCGACGGAGTCGGAGTCATAATCAGAAGCGCAGGACATTATGATCTCGTAAAAATAGCGTTCTGATTCCGCTTATAACTCCGTCGCTTACGATCTAGTGAAAACTACGCTGCCAGAGTCGCAAGCAAAAGCAGAAGACCTAAACCAATCACACAGCGTGAAAACGTGCTTTGTCATTGGTTTATCGTTCTGATTCTGCTTCCGACTCCGACAATCTCGTATTCACTAAATAAACGACGGGATCGTAAGCGGAGTCGGAAGGAAATGGAAACGTTCTGATTCTTCCGACTCCGATTCCGTCGCGCTTATAACTGCGCTTAGGACTCCAATTTTTTATTCTCACACGATCATGGGCCCTCTTCCGACTCCGCTTACAATTCTCCGTCGCTAGTGAAAACCGGCCTTTGGGCTATCTCTACAAAAGGTTTAACTTGACTATCAATATGGGAGAAGGGTCTTTACTTTTAGTGGCACAAAAATTCTCAATGAACTCCCGTTAAACACAGCAAACACTGAGAGCATACAGACTTTCCGCCGCCGAGCAAGGCATTTTTTTGGTAACTTTTAATGACGTTTCCTTGAAATCTTATAGTATTATAGGGATTTTTAAAATGTACATGTACCGTGGAATTTTTGCATATATTTTGGGGCTTTTAAGGATACTGTTAAAATATTTTATGCTATGATTGAACGGGGTCTCCCAAAAGTTAGTCTGCTACACAGCCGTTTTTAGAGTCGTCACGCAACGCTCCTCCCCACTAGTGGGGAGGAGTGTTGCGTGACGACTCTAAAAACGGCTGTGTAGCAGACTACCTAACATGAGATCAGGCTCTATTTTCGTTTCGCTTTGAAAATTACATTCCGGCGGGCAAGGCGATTAGAGAGAATGTATGAGAACCGCTCAAATTGGGCCTGATCTCAGGTTACAGACTACCCAAAAGTTCGTTCCTCTACTTTATGAGCCTCTCTGTAATTCAGTGCGATTGGACTGGATAAGCAAATCATTTAAACAAAGTTGTGTCTTTCAATCTAATTTAATATTTCATACTTTTTGTGCCATCTTTCGACTCGAATATTCGATTTGTGTACTCTCGCGCCAAAGGTGCGCGTGCGCGAGTATATTTTCCCGCCACATACTTTGTGTATTTAGTGACCCGAATTGCTAGTGAATTCCTTCCGTGTTTTTTTTTGTGAAGATCATGAAGGATAAACCCTGTTAATGCAAAAACGCTCAGCTACGTGAGAGTATAAACATGTTTAAGTCGATTTACTGGCTTATCAGTTTAAGAAATTGATAAAGAATTGCCAAAATCCGAATGTTGGGTAGTACAATGGTCATGGAGAAGTTTTGAAGACAAGAAACAAAGGGAAGACCGAAAGTCCTGAATAAAGCAGCTAAAATATTTTTAAAGGAGGCTAGGTTAAAGAGAGGAAATTTGACGAGGTAAATCTCACAACAGTCTACAAGTTAAGTCTAGAGCTGGTTCATGAGAAACGAAGGTTGGATGGCAAAACAAAACCTCTACTCAGTCCGCCAAGCAACGTTCATCTCCTCTCAAATTTGTAAAGAAGTACTAAAGCCTTACAGTGTAAAGAGGCTGGGATGATTACCTTTTTTTGAATGAATGCCAAAAATAACTTTTTCAACTGCTTAATAAAAAAAAATGATACTGTCTGGGGGGAAAGGTGCCTACTGCGTACCAGACGATAAAGAAAACTCAAAATGGATCATCTGGGGCTCTACCCTCTGCACGCTACATGACTCATCCCTCCATGCCGCAACGGTTACAGAATGTGATAAAATACATAGGGGGAGTGGGGACATGCCGGTCACTGATCCTCTGAATACATTTACTCGATAGAGCAATAAAAAATTTCCAGAAATTTCATGTAAAAATAAAGTTTTGATCAAAAGTTATAGCACATGAAATTAGAGGAACGAACTTTTGGGACACCCCGTATTTTCGGCTTTTAAAATGTATTTTTAAATTCTTAATGAAAAGTAGTTTTTAGGACGCAGAGCCCCTGTGGAGACCAGCGCTTTGAGCTGATTGGGCCAGCCTGTTGAAATAAAGTTTTAATTTACTTTACTTTACTTTTGACCGAGTAATAGTGGGTGTCTGCAAGGGGTCACTCGGTATCACGCCGCTTATATACAAACTGCAAGCCAGTTAAGTAATATATCAAGCATGAGACGCGGTGTTTCATCATCAGATGAAACAGCGAGAAGAGAGTTGAAAATACAACGCGCAGCGGAGTATTTTAGACGAACTTTTAGGTGATTCATCACGTGATGAAACACTCTGTCGAATGCTTGATATTAAGGATGTAAAAACAGAGAGATTAAGATTAACCTTTTATTTGAAACTACATAGAAAACAGATAAACATTGAAAAACCTTTAGGCTAAACAGTTTCATTGAAAATTTTCTAATTGGAGTCTGTGCTACTCCTTTTCAGTTTTGCCTATCAATACCTTGTTTTAACGTCAGTTGAGAATTTCTCAGAATAGAAAATAACCAGATAAAAACTGCCCAGAACGATTCTTGTGGATAGAACTGGCATAAAACTACTTATTTTTGTGTAGAAGCAATAAACAGTAAACGAAAAATAAGGGGAAAACTTGGTCACGTACAAATTCACGCGTGCCGTTTGGCGTAAACGTGAATCTCTCTAATGAGCAGTTTTTCATCTGATTTCCAAACATTCATTACACATTAACTTCTTTTGTATTTTCTTTATGAATTATTAATGAGGTTGTGAATAGATGAAGGTGAAGAAGAACCTACCTGCACGAGTAGAGACGGAGGAGTAGAGCTATAATCACCACGGAACATGTAAGAAGCAAAACCAGGGCGACAATTCCCCAAGTCCTCCAACGTTTTAACTCTGTTGGTGGAAAACAATTTTGAATAGTTAAGAACTGTAAAACCTGTGGGTGTCATCCCTGATATCACTCATTCAACATAATGGCTGTTTGTGAAACCAGTTGGCTATTTACAATTTACGCGTGGCCGAAGATCCGCCGAAAATTTGAACTCGGGAAAACCGAGAACAAATCCAGCTGGTGGCCAGAGCGGGACTCGGAGCCGGGACTGTCGGAATACGAGTCCAACGCAATGATCGTCCGTTAACTAAAAAAATTATTGGAAGAACGACGCCAAACAAAGCCGCCAGCACAGCTGTTTTTGTTGCGTAAAGCTTGAGAAAATAGTTGGACATTTTTAGAAGGCTGGCGACGACGAAAAATAAAGTAGGTAAATTACTACGTTAAGATAACAAGAAGCCATCTGAGGCATGTTGACTGCTTTTTGGAAAATATCTGCAAGATAGAACATCCTGTGAAAGGTTTGAACCCAGGAGTCATTTCATAAAAAGGTTGAGTATGATCGTACGGGTGAACGTACAGTAGTCCTGAGTAGGACTGTTGATGTTGGCAGGGACTTACGTTTCGACAACCTGTGCAGTAGTTATGATAATTATGAAGACTTATGCAGTTCACATGGAAGTGTTACATGTATGTACAAAGAAAATTTTGGATGTTGATGCACGAGGCTTTTAAACATTGAAAAAAGCAACTTGTACGAAGGCCTCAAAAGGAAAACGTTCGGCTAAACAACCAAGAAACTGTTAGACACCAATATATAGAACTGTACAGAAATAATGCTCAAAAACACACACGACAACCGGGATCGTTATTTATACAAAAGTAAAAAAGTCTGTGTAAATAAGAATCAACAAACTGCTATAACAACACTTGTTGATTTTCGTACCTGTCTCCATGCCGTCATCACCCCTTTGCTCAGCAACCTGTCCCGAACGATTGCTGTCTAGCTTTGTGGATGTTGCTTTTGTCGATTCTGTGACTGAGTTTTGTTCACTTACGCTGCTAACTTCCACTGTACTGGCTGTAGATGTGTGTGCAGCTTGTGTAAAAGGTGCCTGAGTAGTGATTCTGGTTGGTGATATTGCTGATGACATGAATGATGATGATGATGATGATGAAGTTGTTGTTGTTGGCAGAACTGTTGTAGGAAGGACTGTTGTTGGAGTTGGATTATCACGACATTTCAGGACACCCACATCTTCTTCTGGACAGTCTTCATCTGGAAAAATTGTTTTAAAGAATTTATTTACAGTCGACTCTCTCTTAACCCTTTAAGTCCCAATAGTGACCAACATCAACTTTCTCCTAACAACATCAGCAGATCATCAAGAGTACTGGTTATAAGAATTACTTAATTGATTACCAAAGGGAGAACGCTTTGATCTTAAACCAAAATTCTCTCAATTATTCTTAAAAGAAATGTATGGAGATCAGTCTGGAGAATTAGTAGTTGGATCTTGGGACATAAAGGCTTAACGGACACTTCTATAAGATGAACACCTCGATAAAACAGACACCTAGAGTTGGTCCCTTTACTTGACTCTCAATAAGATAGATTACTAACATCGGAAAAAAAAACTCATGACCCTCCGGACAACCTTCTTAACCCATTCGCCCCTCAACCGCATGTAACCGTCCGTGCAGACCAGCGAGGGTTGTACCACTTGTTATACCATCAGTCTTAACGGTCGAGGAAAACTTTGTCTTCTTATTTGTGCAGGAGGAAGAGATCCTTCAGACCATGCCAGAATGAGCACAATTCAATCAAGTAGACCAAAGAAAAGTTCAAACACCATGAAAAGTTGACCCAAAAATTCTAACAAAAATCTTGTTCCATTACCCACCCGCACTTCCTTCCACCAAATCCTATGATCCTAAAAGCTTTTCCATAGAAGTGTTCCACCAGAATGAGAAAGCCTAGTAAATGCCCAGCAAATAACAAGAAAATGGGCAAAGAAGCGGAAAGAAGAGGGAAGGAGAGAAAGCAAAAGGTAAAAGCCGAGACTGCTGTGTCACTTTTAAACACAAAAACTCTTCCAAAATTTTGCTTTCAACACATGCCCAAACTTCAGAGGCTGATATTTTAAATCTGTAACAAAATGCTGCAAAGAGCACAAACTTTAAAATGGCATTATGGGACGTTTTGGCAGCCTACAGTCAGACTGTGACCACAAAACAGCTCAACTAGCTTCAAAAGCAGTTACTGGGGCATCAACTTCACCTTGAAGTTTTTTCTTCAAAGCTTTTTACATGTAGTTAACATGGCATGTACGTGTACAGTATGTCTACGCTGTACTTCAGCACTTCTTTTAATTACACTGTAGTCATTGAACAATACCTGTATAAGTTAGATTACTTTTTTTGCAGACATAGACTTCAATTTTCATAAATATTCCTTTTTGTGTGTCATTGCAGTGACCTCCAGTAGGGTCATTAAGGTGTGTCTGTGTGCCATCCGATGTCCCTACATAGATAAACAATAAGGAAACATACAAACAATTGTTGACTTGACATGGAGATGATTTTGAAGAATATCCTTTTATGTAATATACATGTAGCGTAATAAAACCTAGTTAGTAAGTTACTCAAGAGAGCAATCTTACAGAAAAAGAGGCCCAGAAGTAACCAATAATAATAAGTATTTTCACACAAATACTACAGTAAAAATTAATCATTGGTGTTTGGACTGAGGCTCAAATGATGTTGGACTGGGCATCAAAATTTTACCTGATGAGTACATAAAACTCAACATCACTGATCATGCATTAATTTTTTATGTGATCTAGAGAAACAGAACTTGGTTCGTTTAACTCTCAGGGAGTCACCACTATGGAAACTTTAAGGTAACTGCGACTCTTCATTTACCACTAAAATAACACTTCTTCCCCCCTACAAACTTCACCCCATAATTTGGGTCGCTAAGTCCTGTAAAATTGACTTTCTATCACTTACCAATAAAATAATACTTCTTTCCATCTTTAAACTTCAGCGAATTTGGGTCTGCTGTAAATTCGGCAAATACCACAGGAAAATATTTCAATGCTGTTGGATCATTGCAACTGAATAAAAGTTTGCTAGTATTGCTTAATGATGTATTACATTGGTCAAACACACTTCTGTCATAAGCAATCCAAAGGTTTTCATACATGGTTGCAGATTGAGGTGCTCTTAAAGTTTTTTGTAACACAGTGGCTGTGTTTGGACATATGAAGAAGACTTTAGATTGCAGTCGGACTTTAAGAGTCATGTATCCTGTGCTACAACTTTGGCTCTTGTCTCTGAATCTATTGAAAGATTGAAGTGAAAAATCAGTTTTGTGTTAACATGTACATGTATTACTAATAATCTGCAATACGGTACAGTATCGCAGGCTCAAGTGTACAACTCATTGACGTGATGTGCTTTTCATTACAGTTATCCGCTGACCAGTTATTAGTTTTAACTGCATGATCGCAGGCTAAGGTCCAAAATTGTCCCATAATTTTCAAAGAAACTATGTGGTTTCAAATGCATAGCCAGCTTCATTTCAAACGATCTCTTGCAAACACAGCTAATGTATGTTGAAAATTACTTACAGTGTTTTATTTTAATAGTGCTTAAAAGGCCATAATCATTAATAACTTAATAACCTCGTTTGTTCAGTCATATTACAGGAAAATCTCAGACCTCAGGCTAGATGCAATTGACCTCGCTATCGCTTGGGCAATACATCAAGGTCTCGGCCTGAGATTTCCCTGTAATAACCTCACTCTCAGTTAATAGGTTGTATAGGATCTAGAGCCTACAGCTGTACTTCAAACCTCAAAAGGCCACCATAGAAAATACCTTAATATTCCTTAAATTACCATTTAGGAAGTGCTTTATAGATTACAATGGTATTTTTGGAAATCTACCATTGCACAAGTTTGCAGATTGTGCAAAAAAAAAATTATAGTAATGCACAAGTCAGACTTCACATGCAGCTTAGTAACTTAAATACCAATTCAAAGTACATTATGGTATTTTTCGTAGTGGCCTCAGAGTCTTAATTAGGCATCAGAGATCGGAGAATTCTCCATTTACTTCACAGAATTCTCCGTCTAGAGTTTGATAGCCTGTGACTGTTTTTTGTTCAGACATGTAGTCTCTTTCAGAATATTCTCCTGTAATGTTATGGCTTTCTCCTGCTACTAGAATTGTGTGCACTTATTCACTTACATATTTGAACATATGATTCTATTTTCCTTTCGTTTCCTATACAAGAAGGCAGGGTCACACTCACAGTAAATGGGAGAAAACCCTGGCACTGATTCTTCAGCTCATATATTTTTGTAAACAATACAGTGTCCTTTCAACAATAATCTAAGGAAAGTGTCGTGTATACGATGTACGCATTTCAAACCAAAATTGTATTAAGTGCAAGAAAATACATGTACACCTAAGGTGATCTGTTGGCATTCGTTTCCATAAGAACTGAATCTTTGCTAACAGGACCAGATGTAGTCGGGACAGGACCAGCTATAGTCTGTTTCAGCTTCTTTTGAATAATGTAAATCATAATGCTTTTTTGCTCTTGCAGGCTTTTAAGGCAAAACCTACAGTTTACAGCTATATTATCTTACAGGAGCTCTTTTTTTGCACTCAGAGTAGATTCTTCACAGGATCACAAATGCACATCACAAAATATCTGCATATTAGCAGCAGTTTCCATAAAAATTTGTTATGTATGTTACAGAGCAAAATATTTGATTTCATGTTAAATTTGATTTAACCTAGGTTGATTCTCAATTTCCTTTGTTTCCTAAACAAGATAGATCAAAATTAACCAATTACAACCTACAGATATGACCTTTTGAATCCGCTGAAGAAAGTCGGTGTTTCCTGAGAGGTCCATTAGAGTCAGTGATGGAGGCTAAAACTGTAAACTTTTTTTTTATTTTTGACTTGAAGTCGCAATGTTATTGCAAAGTGCAGTAATTGTAGCAAAGACATAATTTGTTGGTAAAAGACAAATAAAAACTTGTGTCAAACAAATGTCTCCTGGGTGTTATAATTATGTAAAGTTTTGAATAAAAAACACTGTCTGGTGTTTGCATTCTTGAAAAACATTTGCTATGATATCGATGTTTTTCAAATTTTGTGCTTTGAGTAACAATTTTTTTTTTTTTTTTATGAGCTGTTGATTGGCTCACAATCAACTTTCTTTTAACGTATTCTTATTTTCCGGTCAACTTTGTCTGGGTGGTCCTGGTGATAGTCGTCGCACTGTATTTGTCACAGTGCAAACAGGCGGGGCAGGAACTATAAAACTTCTGATGTTATTCTAGAGTAATAACATGAGCTGCTGATTGGCTCACAACCAACTTTCTTGCAATGTATTGTTATTTTCCGGTCAACTTTGTCTAAGTGGCCCTGGTTATAGTACCGCCTATTTGCACTGTGACAAATACAGTATTTACCACGTACAGTAAATAGATTTTTATTAATTTAGAATGTAACCTGGAATTATGCATAATGTCCCCAATTTTTTCTACATCCAACCAGATGACCAGAATAAAATCAATCACTGTGATTACATAATTTTACATGTAGACCTTACAAAAAACATTCATGAATAATTAACTTCCAAGTTCTATTCTTGAGTTGACCTACAAGGAATGTAAGTAATGATATACTACAGCTGTAGAACTGCAATAATTCCATTCACATTTACCCAAAGCCAGATTTTAGTTGTTTCAACCTAGGAACTACAACAATATTATTAAGTTCATATATTAGCTTTCTTTGTGGTTGGGGTGGATTTAGTGTTTCCAGAGATAAAATTCACGACCTTTTCACAATATCACCATCATAAGAGCACTACTGTCAAGCGACAAGCAGATATACATGAGTGTTCAAATAAAGTTTATAAAAATAATGGAAAAAATTCAAACATGACTACACAATAGCACAAATTAATGATTTTTGAAAGAAAATTTAGGTAATTATTTCAAGTGAGGAGGTTCTGGGCAATTAACCTGCACACCCAATCAATACTGACTTATTATTGTAGCTGGCATGAACAATCAGGATTGATTTCTAGGCAATATACAATCCAATACTGAACATCCTCTCAAATGGACAATAACAAACCAAAAATTGAACTTTTGTAAGATTAAAGAGTACTCATCTAGGCAACAATGATTGTGGATGACTAATTGGCCAAACACAACAAGAATGACAAGAGTTCAATTTTTTATCGGGTTGTCATCTGGGGACTCAGGAATGCCAACATTGTTCAACCTCCTCACAGGGTATGACTCCCATGGCGAGTAATAGAATGCCTGTAGAAATCACGGAGGGGTAGCATCGTCTCGGCTAAGACTGATGAGTAAGTCCTTCTTTAAAGGTGGCTTGTTACAGATTTTCACCATGGTGAATTTTAAAAACCCGTACTGTTAACTAAGTCCAATATAGATTGACAATAAATTATAAGTCACTACTTATAAAATAAAGTAGTAAATACGTTTAATGACTCATAGTATTTCCTTTGTTTTAAGACAGTTTTTATTACATACACTACTTTCTTTTTTGGTTCAAAATCAAAAGTTCAACGAGTTAGGGAAACAGCATAAGTTCAAATAAAAAATAGAAAAAAAATCCAGTGAAGATTGAGGACATTGAGGTTAATAAAATACCGCAATTAAGGTCTCTAATAATTTTGCGTGCATGTCTAAGTTTCGTTGTTAAAGTTCGAGACATCACTTCATGACAGATTTTGCAACTATTTTGCAACTATTTTGTAAGCTTAAGCTTGCCCCAAAGTGAACGCGTTTGGACGTGAATTATTCTTCTCAGTTTCTAAGAACATGACACTTTTTTAAATATTGAATATCATTTTATTTAGCCTGATTTTAATAGCTTGATAAATCCACTTTTGTAACAACATGGAATCAATAACCTTGAAACATTTTAGTCAAGAGCACTGACTGAACATTTCGTTCGAGAAATTTAATTAAAATGGTTGAAGATCAAAGCAAACATGCTTTTACGCAGAGTTGAGAATGAATTCTGTTCGGGAGGAAACCTATGAATTAAAGCTTGGGCAATACTGTCGCGTTTACAATGAATGAGACAGACCGTGCTTAAACCGTCGCAGGATATTTACGTGAATACACAAAACAAATCTCTACTTACAAAGGATTCTGAGGATCCCAGAAAATGGAGTCGTAAATACTGCTGCTAGAAACGCAGACCATGTTGATGAAGAGACCAAACACATTTCAGCATGATAGATCGATCGACGTTTCACGAAAACCTCGAAGTTCTATTAGGCTTACAGCATCGGTTGAGCTAATGCATAAACTTGCTGTCGAACTTATGGTCCTCGTTTTCGCTTTGAATCCGCAGAAAAGATAAGGTCCCCTTATTTGGAGACTGAAAATATTTTTGGTCTTCCTTTGTACTAAAGCGCTGTTTACATAAAGTGACGTCTCCTTTAAGGTATCAATCTGAATCAATCAGCAGGAAATAAACTAAGAACCTCGTTTTGATGCGTCTCGCTTCAATTCTGGAATGGACTCGTTACGTTCGGGAAGGAACGCGAAGAGCAAAGTGAATGTGTATTTCGTATTCTTAGTTCAAGGAAATGCGAGTACCTTAGTTTACCAGAACGTGTTTGAACGTAGTCAACCACGTGACGCAGTATAAACGTCAGCCGCGAATTCTTTTTCAAGGTGCTTTATGCCGAAGTCACCTCCTTAAACCACTATAATTTTTCTCAAGTTTGAAAAAATCTTGCGCTTTGTAAACATGATCTGGAAGCTCGTTGGTTTATGAGGTGCGTTACTGGTGGAAATGGGAGAAGCGTAAATTTGGTCGAAAAATGAACGCAGACATAGTGGTATGTGTACTATTGGTCATCACGTATTTGAAAAAGCAAGAGGCAGTCATGCGAGTCTTGCGAGTACCGATATAAAAACAGAAGAGAACAGTGTCCATATTAACGGGGTGTCCGTATCAAGCGGGTTGAAGTTAAAGAAAATGTGAGGGCTTACTTTTCCCAGGGACAAGGAAAACTGTCCTTAATAATGAGGTGTCCGTATTAAGGGGTTCGACTGTATGTGTTAGTCTGCACCTTTTTTCGTACACGGTGCTCCAGTTTTCCCTGATCCAAGGGTTATGGGCTCCTGTCCAAGTACCATTTTTCCAATATTCCTTGTTTGGTTTCTATTTCTTTGTAATTTTTTATTTATGATTTTTTCTCAATATCATATTCTTTTTTAAGAAAAAGTTTAGCCATTCTTGGCTTTCTAAATACTGACATCGGTGAACATTTATGTGTCACGCTATAACTTTATTAGGAAACGTGCCTAACTTACAATCCTAACTTATCATAAGCCAACTCATGAACACCTGAACAGGAAGACATGGCAACCTTTAGCGGCGCGAACGGCTACCAGATGGTAGATGGCCGACCCACGCATTGAATATCAATATTTCCAAATAAGCCCTGAAGCTGTGCTCTATCATCGGCAATGAAGCAAACCGTAATGCACAAATTATGATGTGGGCAAGACAGGTTTCAAGTTTACAAAGTACTATCATATTTAGTCTTTTAACGGCACCTGCAAATTCGGGGCAATAATCTTTATTCTTTTTCACAAGGTTTTTAGATTCTTTTTAATTCGGACACTGGCAACAGCTGGCTCGAACGTTCTAACTGCTAAGGCTCACCGATCGTGAATATCAGTTTACAGAGCACGTAAGGCAGTCGAGCGTGCCCACCTTTTAAAGGGAAGTGACGAAATTGAAGTCGCCAATATAATTCAATGGTTGCGCAAGAGAAAAACAAGCTGTAGTGTCTCTAATGATTGGCTTTCTTTTCTATCCAAAAAAGAATCCTGGATTAAACGTTTTAGAGTTTCATATTTCTCATAGGGCTTCCCAGAATTAAACGGACTTCCTTATTGACCCGAATAGTCCAAATAAAGAGTACCACAGGTCTCCGGGCATTGTGTTTGTTATTCGACAGTTCTTCGACGTATTAAATTCATTTGCAAATCAATCGGAAAGTGAAAAGTACCGTAGGAAATTCAATGGTGTTTATAAATCCAAGGTCAAGATTTGAAGAACAGAATCATTGTTGCGGCATGAAAATTCTGACTACTTGAAAACGGCTTTATTTAAATGTTTTTGAACTCAGGTTTGGCTATAAAAAAGGGGTTCCGTCGTAATATACCATTAATATACTCGAGACAATTTAGCAAGTATACCCAGACTGAGACTTGCTACAAGTCGACCTAGCTCTTACCCGAGCGAAAAAAGAGCAAGCGAAGCGAGCGAAAAAAAACTTTTTAAAGGACTTTTAGAAAGTCTAACCCAAACTTCACCCAAATGTTTCTCAGGTACCGTGGCAAACCTCATGAGAAAAAGAAACACAAATTTAGCGACCCGTATACCCGAGGTCATTTGTTTTATATCCAATTTAAAAAAGGTGTCAAATTGGGCTGTTGTTATGAATATTTGCACGGCTAGGTTGGCTGCCGAACAAGATGTTAGAACACTTTACATATGTTGCCCACAAAGCCCTCGAGTCAAAAAGGGAACGATGAAAGTGCTGGTTTACTATCGCGTAATAACTTCCTGATGTCATTTTCTCATAAGTCCCTGAGATTCACAATCATGGTTTGGCAAGCCTCCCACATTGAACATTCTATCCTTCAGATGTTTCGATCCAAACCGCACCGGCAGAACTTCGGGATCGAAGCCTCAGTCAGGCCATTAGTTGTAGAAGGGTGGCAGGAAACTCTTGCAACCATATGACATATTATTTGCCGCAGTTTCAATTGAGAAACAGAAATTCGGCATAATTTTTGTCCCTCAAACAACAATGCGTCTACTAGTTTTAAAGGGCCCGGTTTCCGAACAAACATTAAAAGTAGTTCTCAGATGCACGCCGGATCCGCGGAAATGTTTCCGAAGCCATAATCCACTGAATTCATATGCAGCCGTCTATCGAAGTCGTTCCACATCTTCTTGATCGTTTTTACGCATAGTTCACACCTCAAAGCGGCTTTTACGCTGAAACGTTGTTTATTTTGCTTTGTTTTGTTTGTTTGTTTGTTTTTTATTGCTTGTTGCCCCCAACATACACCACCCAAAAGCCATGGCTGTTCTTTCAGTGATAATGCTGGTCTCAAGTCGTTTCACTTAGTATTTTTAAACATATCATTGTAAGAGCCCTGACCTCTTGTTATAAAATTTTACTCGGAGAGAAATTACTGAGCCTTAGTCGTTATTCCAATGGGAAAGTGGGATCACGGAGACGCCAACCATCCCAGCAAACAAGGAACAAACTGCCAAAAAATGATAATGATAAAAGTTTGGCCAAAAATAAACCAAACAAAGCAAAAATCAACATTCTGGCGTTCTCAGCAAGTTGTCACGCCAACCATCCCAGCAAACAAGGAACAAACTGCCAAAAAATGATAATGACAAAAGCTTTGACCAAAAATAAAGCAAACAAAGCAAAAATCAGGCATTCTGGCGTTCTCAGCAAGTTGTCAGGCGTCACTCAATAAGAAGATTACATTTAAATCGCATTGTAGGTGAAATTTACTTTATACAAACTTTCGCAACTTATAGCATTCCTTAAGTTACAGGCTAGGGTGACTAATTTTACGGTTCACTTCCATTAACGCGAATTCAGTGTATGTACGTGCGTCACAGTCTGTTTTGCATACGCTTTCAAAGAATGGCGACAATCTGTACTTAAGATGAGTACATAGCCAAAAAAAATAATGTAAAATATCTTGCATGCATGATCATGGCTTGACGGCATTTTTTCAAATTGCCCTTTTATCATCCGAGAATGAAATGAGGCACCCGTGTCAATGGAGAATTTGAATACACATGAGAACTTTGTAGAAACCAGCTCGCAACATTGGTTTCGATCTTTTCTAGCACAATAACATAAGTTAATTTGACTGAATTGTTCTGCGAAAGTCAGAGATGACTGAACATATGAGTCAATGGAACTTAATTGTGACGTTGTTCAGTTTGGGTAGGAGGAAAAGCATGGATGAGAATTGCGAGACTGGCATACCAAAGCCGAAAATTCCAAAGGTTTATCAGTGTCTATCGATCTCTCCAATTTCCTCATTATAGTCTGATGAGAGGCGTTACGATCATGTACCAAATCACGTGAAGCTCTGAGAACTATGTGTAAGCGTGTCGCTACGCATACATACTCTTACCTGTTTTTTAATATTCTAAACGCGTTTTTTTGTGGGTTTAATATAAAGCAATTAGGTTCAATATGCTGAAATTTAAAGTTTTAAACCTCCTGAACATCGATAATTTCCGCGTTTTAGTTTCATTCTGGTGGAGATACAAACACCAGACACTTAGAGGCTATTCACTTAGTTTGGTTACACGTAAGCTTTCCGCATGTAAAATACTGGGCTGTCATGATAATATACGAGCGAATAGATACTTTTCATGGCACGTCTAGGGCATCGAAGCTTTCGTTTCATCCTGCTCAGGAACTAAGTCTTAAAGTCGCTAATGGAAACGCCGGGCAACAAACTTTTAACGGCCCGCCCAGTCAATCCTTAACATTTATTTTTTGATAAGGCAGATAAGAAAGAAGGAAATTTTCACGTGATTTGTAGTGCGTTGTCGTAAATCGCGTGTTTACATATGTAATCAAACCTCATATCGCATATAGAATTTGATTGTTAAGTGACCGGAAAGAGATAGGCATCGAATCTGCCAAATCAAAGGAAACATAAAACGAATCGCTTTATCTTTCGTTGAAAAATTATCAGGAGTTGTGTTGTAAAAAAACCGGGGATGCTGTGAGTGAAGAATATATGTTTAAAACCTTACATCGTGAGTGAGTGATTTAGGACCGTTTAGCGCGAGTTTATCGGGACAACAGTGTGTTGCAAGCAAATATCCCATTCCCAACACAAAGTGGCACCTCCGACGGGACTGAACAGAGGGAAAACAAACAGATCTGACGCCGGGATTTTACAATGGAGAAACTTACCACGGATCTAGACACACAACTACAATTGCTCAACTTCACAAGGGATAAGAGTGAAGGAATCACCGCAAAGGGAAATGTGGAAGCTGTGGACCGCCAACTTCAGTCCTTGAGATCTATCGTAACGAAGGTGGAAGATTTTAAGCTTCAAATCGAGCAAGCGAAAATCGCGAACGGAGAGAAACTTGAAGACGTGTCAGAATGGAGCCTCACAGTTGAAGCCGCCCAA